GTTTTTCATTAGCTTCAATTTGATATATAGCCCAACGTTCAGTGTTGAGTATTTCTGCTCATAACTCAGAAAAACTAAAATGCACTGGCTTCAATTTCCCCCCCTGAGTTAGCCTTCCAGTTTATTTATAGTTCAATGGGATGCAGTGATGCCAAATCGAATCTAACGTGACGTAGTGATGCATTTTGCTTCAACTGTGACGTCAAAGGATGCGGTAAAAAATAACATATTTTGTCGTGAAAATATTGACGCTTAAGTGTCGCAAAATAACAGAAAGTACACATTTGCGATCGCACATCGCATACTGGACTTATTTTGACAATTTCGACTGTTATTGAGACTATTTAAATTGGATTTCATCCTAAATAGTGTATTCCTGACATGGAGTCAATTTTAAGCAAAGATTTGCGGGTTGATAGGAGATATTTTATTACTGAGTGCTTTGAGTATTGGCGACATTATATATCTATATATTTCAAGCTACATGAATCATGATTTCTCAATTTTGACCGATGCATACGCATCGCTGGCATCGGTCTGGATCCGCCCCTGTTGATGTACATGAGGAAGTGTGCGTTAACGTTCAGTTTTGGGTCACCTGTGGAAGTGCGAGTTTGTGACACCGAAAATTATAAAGGAAAATTTGCATTTTCAACCTCTTCTGAAGCAGGGTCTATAAAATAAAGAATTGACTCGATATTTTATGCCTGTGTAATGGTATGCTCCAGTAATGCCAAAGCACGTTCTTCTTTTACTCTGTAACAGTTTGACGTTTTGATTTTTCCGCCCATACATTACATCATCTGTAAACTGTAAAACTTAGCTCTTATGTATCTACATTTTTTTTACATTATCTTTTATTTCAGTTCCAAATGTCAAGTTAGCACTGATCTTTGGAGTATTTTCTGGTTGCCTTGTCGCTTTAGTCATTATTTTGCTCATTTGTTTCATATCAAAACAACATCGATCAAGAAACGCAAGTACTAGTGACAAAGTAATGACTGATGAAGAACTGCCAAAATCCAACGAAAGTCTCGCGTACAAAACTGCGTCTAATAACAATGTTGTTTTCCTACCACCAAACAAAGCTGCGAACGGGAAAAGTGGCAGTTATGTTGCGCTCGAATGTTGCGATAAGGAAGAGAACAGATGCAATGGAAATCTCGAGTCAATACTGTAAAATAGTGAAGATTAGTAAGTGACGTAGTTTATTTATTGTAAGTGCGCTGCATTGTGCGAATCTCATCCAAAGCAGATATTTAACTAGTGTAGTATATCGCTGTAAAAATAGGTTGCCATGTAGATTAGTTGCTGTGTACCATACCAGATTCTGGTCGTGTATTTATATTGTTGTTATTGGCAACTTTAAATAGTGCAAGTGTAGAAAAATTGTGGTACAACTGTGAGAAATAATTTGTTTTTGAGCTTTCTTCGTTAAAATAAAATTGAATATAATTATGAAAGGTTTTTAAACGTAACAAATCATAATATTCCGCTGCATCGTTTGGGAATTAATGCAGTTTGGTATTCTGTTTGAAAACGCATGGAAAACCATTCCATACGCAATTCCTGCGCGAGAACTCGCCGAGGCCAGTCATTTTGGAAGATTGTCTAGTCCCTGAGAACTCAAAGGTCTTGTGATTTTCAACAAATGTTCCGTTTTATTCAGCAATGAACAGTGGCGGCGCCGCAAATTTTTTTTCCGTAGACAGTCGGACTTCTCATGGATAGTCGGACGCATCATTGATCCGCGCCCTTAAACAAAATATTCAGCGGATACTCGTCGCTCGCAATTGGTGATTTCAAAATCAGTATTGCTTGGTTGAGCTGTCAAAATCTGAGCAGGACGCAATGTGGCTTCATACCTTGTGTGGTGATGACATCGGACAGGAGCGATTGGCATTGCAGAATACCCATCCACTTTTTAAGCTATGCCTTTCAAACATCATGGATACGATGTATTAATACATCTACATTTATTCTCAATAGGTTAATAATAAATAGATGGTGGCCCGGTAAAGGTAGCTACGAGACATATAGTGACTTAGCATTAATAGATTAAATTGTCATAGTGTTAAATCAGAGGAGGAGTGAGGACTATACCGGCATGCAACGCGGTCAGGCGCGGTTTTTTACATATTATCGATTTCTCGCTCTGCGCCTTCACTGTTCGGTCGGCTTTCGCTGTGTTTACACCTCGAGGTTTCAAAAGATTTGGAAAAGATTTATCGAAAAAAAATTGTAAAATGGTGGATTTTTGCACTA